AGTAAAAAGTGTAGTTAAATAGCGCGCGCGAAGCGCGCGTCTGTAATGCTAGTATTATTAAAATATGTATAACTTAAAAATAAAACGAAAAACTTACATAACTAAATTATATAATTATAAAAATTCTAAATCTAAAATAAAACAGTTACATAATAGCAGAAAATATTTATTTTTATTTTTTCGAGCTTTCCATATATATTCATTAAAAATTGTTATTTACATTTAGTAATGTTTTAAAAAATTGCAGAAAAGTAAACATTTATTCAATATGGAATAAATCAATCAATTTTGTCAACTGTATAGTTTTAAATATTATTGCAAAAGTATAAGTTATTTAGTAAGTAATAGCTATTACTAAATTTATTCATAAAACTCATTATTTGCAGCATAATAAACAAAAAATACAATGCAAAGTTGGAACCATAAAAGAAATATTTACTGATTGCACGGTACACAGAATTAATTTGCGCCAACAATAAAAGCTTAAAAAAGTACGTTAATTTCACTAGTATGACAAAACAGAATGACTACATTGTTATTATTTTATGGCTAAAAAATCAGCAAAAGCTTAGAGAGAAGAAGAGCGTTCCGGTCATATCAATTATTTTTTATACAGCTTTAATTGAGCATGGCGCACTCTATGCGCCAACAAGACCACTTAAGTGTTAACGATACCTTATACAGTTACTGACGCTAATTACTACGAAGCCACGTGGCTTATTTAACTTTTCCAGGAAGAAACACGATCTCGCATGATTGTAACTCTAACAGCAGTAGGTACTCTTCGCTGTTGTTAGTTGCACGATTATAATTTCTTATTATAAGTGTATCATATAATTATTAAGTGCGGCCGTGAAATATGTACAAAAAGGTTGTTAACTGTGTTGCAGATGAACTACAAGCTGTTCAATGCTGCGCGCGATAAATCGATCATGAATTATCAAATCGGTCGATTTGATATGGAAATGGAGTCCGATGTCGATTTATCTTCTGACGGCCGTAGAATCATGCGTTCAACGAGCTGTTCACGACATTCGCACGAACGTACAAAGCCGACCAATTTGCCGGATAAGCACTTAAGAAACACCGTCGCATCTATAGTAAGTCATATATTTCTCTTTTATAACATATTTTATTGATTTTTGTATCGAAAGAACTAAAATAAGTATTTATGTTATAGTAAGCAATGTAGAGTTAAAATTCAAGTTATAACGTTGAAAATTAATTTCAATTACAAATATATTCTACGATTATGTACTGGCAATTGGTTATTACAATTTGAAGTGATGCTTTTTTGGATTTATTTATAACATCTAGAAGAACGCGTCATATCTCTAAAACACACGTATCTGTATAACAGCGCACAGATTTATTGCGTTTAATGGCGTGTTACATTGGCATTGCGATATCTCGATCAATAGCTTCGAGCTTCGATCTCAAAATTATTAATGCGTCTAATGCTTGTCGCCGAGTTTGCACTTTCGTGTTTGTTTAAGTGCCTCGACTGTGAAAGAGCCAATTTCCGTCGCTTACCACAACCAAGAGTATGGATGCCGCCATGTTCATGCGCTGTGATATTTTTGCGTGCCGATACACGAGATTCTCTTTTTGTCATGAAAAAGCGCACTCAAGCACTCATTATGGCTTATTTTCGGAACGAAACGTGCATTAACTGTTTTTTGATAGCAAAGTGACTTCACCTTTATTTCATTAAATTATTGCAATGACATAACATGATGTTGTCTAAATTAAAAACTCTCAAATGGGATTTTAACTCGTGACGTCACGTGTCGCAATATGGCCGCCTTGATAAGGACGCACATCAATGTATTGACGTACATTGATTATATTCTTATAAGTTATATCATCACAGCAGTGTCCTTATCGAGGCGGTCATATTGGGCCGAGTTAAAATTCCAAATAGAAAACTCGTCAATTCGTCACGTTAGGCTTCTCTGATTGACTGCAGTAGAAATGTAAAATCTGTATGCCCAATCATGATCTATATATTGGTTATATGCAGAGAGATAATTATTATTATAGGCATTATTTTTAAACATTCAGACTTATAATCAATCATATACCGATTAACAGGGACTCGTCACGTGACGAGTGGGCTTTAAAGAATCTATCTAATCTGATTGTAAGTGTATTGTCGTAATTTATCAATCATTTAAAAAAAAAAAAAATTTCTAATGTGTGTATAATTATTTTATTATATATTATTTTTAACTCCTAATTACTGATTTCTCTTTTATCGTTATTTGATATTAATATAATTTTTTATTGATTTAAATGTGCATTTATGTGGGTTTTTTTATGCGTAATTTTTTTGCACTTGTTTCGAATGTTACTGAAATATATTAAATTATATTAAATAATTAGTGGTATATATATGCATATACATATACATATGCATATACATACGTATTGTATACAACTGAAAAATACTTTATAAATTAAAGTGTATTTTAAAACTTTCAACACTTCGACGGAATATTATATATTAATAGTGATACAGAAATAAGTAATTTATTCTATAATAATAACACTATATGGGATACCATTTTGCATCGTGAGTGTGAATTGCCACTTCCGACGTATTTTTGCTTGCTAAACACGAATCCATTGGTAAAAGTTGACTATCGCAGCACAATTTTCAAAAAATGGAATCGTCGTTTTCGGTCCCTTTGATGCATTTCTCTCAAAATTGTGACGTAATAGCTGACTTGTGCCAACGGATTCGTGTTCAGCAAGCAAAAATACGTCGGAAGTGACTATATTCACACTCGTGATGCAAAAAAGCTTAAATTTTGTCCCACAACTGCGTAATTATCAACCAATATTTCGTATGCGTAACATCAATTTAGATCGCGAGATTAATAACGAGTACATTTTTCACAATTGAAAATAGCATTTTGCTGAACAATAATATTGTGATTTGATATATGTCTGGAATTATATGAAAGCGTTTTAATATGATTTTTATGGACACAGAATAAGAGTAATGCATGGTTCCTTCCGAGAATGATCTGCTTATATAGTCGACGGAGTCTGAATTCGACCTCGATTCTCATTCCATATGTGCTGTTATTTTTATTAAGAGATTGATTTAGAGGGGAGAGAGAGAGAGAGAGAGAGAGAGAGAGAGAGAGAGAGAGAGAGTGTGTGTGTGTGTGTGTATGTGTGTGTGTGTGAGATTTGTAGGTAAAAAGAGAATAAATAGAAGAGTATATTGAAAAATGAAGATACTTACTTTTATTATATGTATAACATTTGAAAGCATTCAAGTTATCGATTAAATAATTAAATATCAGAATAGACCATGGAATGTAACAAACAATTGAGATGGAACAACGTACAGTACAAAGAGGATCTTGATGCTTTCATATAATATTCTAAAGTGTGAATCTTACAATTTTCGATTCATATAACACCACCTAATTGCCGATTGCGTGCTTCGAACGCAGCTCCGAATCGATCGAATACTTAATATCACAATTAAATTGCCAAAGGCAATCTAATAAATCGATGCGCATATCATCTATTTTAAATCCTGTGTTTTAATCCTATCGATTAAATTAATTAAAAAGTAGATTGGTCTAGTCATCATTAATTGTATAAGATCAGATAATCCAAAGAGCTATTAATTCGGTAGCACACGTATATAAATAGGATTCGCTTCACTGTTGCGCGCGAAATTTACACGAGAAAGGCACGATATATGTCTCTTGATTCAACGTATATCCAGAAATAGAATTAGAGAATAGTAGAACATAACTTATATAATGCTGAGAAAATGCAAATAACACTTAATTCAATGAGAGTATTTCAAAGTCATGAATCATTCAATACAATTAAAATGCTCGAATACGTATAACAATCTTTTTCAATACGTTATATTTCTTCTTTTTTTGAGGTGCGTCTTGCATTTTTCTTGAAATTTACTGCTTCTAGAAAGAAACATAATCCTATACCACATAAAATTTTACGAGAAAACAGAAAATTAGACATATCTGTCTTTTGCTTTTCTGCCATGTGAAGATGATAAATTTGTGTTGATATGTTTTCTCTGTTTGTATCGTATTCTATTTACTCGTGATGTGCTCAAATGTTCAATTTGCCGTGTGACAAAACCACGATGTGACGGAAGTTATATCTGACACAAAGTAAAAGATACTCGAAGAAATTAATTGGATAGCAAACTTATTTGTAACTATAATTTTATTTCGAGTTATTTTTGATCACTTCGATCACTAAATCGGATCTCAAACTTGAAATTGCGATTGCGATAAATTTCCATTACTATGAAATTAAACTAATAATTTTTTACTATTAATTTTTGAAACAATAAAATTTTTTTTTTTGCTTAGAAAGTGACTATTCATCCACTTCATTATTTAACAATGAAATTAATTAGACAAAAAACCAAAATTATCTTATTTTACTTTAATTATTTCAAATAATTATTATTGTTTCAAAATAATATTTTATTTTGATACATTACACATCAAATCTAAAATTTGAAAATTTTTCTTCCAAAGTATAATATTTTATTAAACCATTTACAAAACATTAATAATGTATAGTTGATACTTTACAAACAAACGTAACACTACAGATAGACAAAAAAGAAAGCGAATTAAAAATCAATTTCTAATGATAATTTTTTTTATAATAATATTTATATAGTATGAAATGGATCACATATGCGACAATTCAAAGTAAGTGTAATCTTTATCGCTTATGAGATTTTGTCGTGCGAAATGTAATATAAAAGAACCCTATAATGACAAGCTGTGAAGCAGATTTTCCTCTATAACATATAGAGGCGATTATTTTTACTTATCAAAGAAATACTAAAAATACTACAGTAGCGTTATATGCGGTATGCCAGTATAAGTAACTGTAATTATTTTGTACGATATAAAAGGCAAGACAACAATTGTTGATCGTTGCTGATAATATATTGTTTCATAATTCGCTATTATAACAATATATTGTTAAATTTAATCAACATTTGATTTATCAGAATTAAAATACTTATTGTTAATTTTACCCAGTAAACAAAATATCATTTCATCAATATCACTAGAATGATATTTAACAAAATGTAACTTTTTAAAATATGCATTCACCAAATGTAGATTACAACTGCAATGTTGCAGCAACATTGTAATATTTCAGCTATATTGCAGAAATACTACATTGTTGTTGCCAAATTGCAGTTATAATCTGTGTTTGATGGATAATTATTAATGTGGTATATATAATGTCAAACAAACTTTGGTCTGACATTTGATACTTAAACTATTAACTGTAACATTTGATAATTTTGTCTTATGTGCTTATTATCTACTGCTATATTAGCTTCTAAGTTCGCGAATACAATAATCACTCAGTAAGCAAGAAACATTAATCTTAAAATATTTTATATGAATTTTTTATCAATATTCTTTCATATAATAATATTTTATAAACGTTTTAAGAATGTTATCTAATAATAAGATATTTTTAAATATATAAAAATATTTTAAATACTAATTAATGTTATTCTAAATATTTTATAACTATCTTTTATAATAATAATTCCACGCAGTATAAAATGTTGAAAGAACGTTGCTGAGAGGTTACAATGCTAAATATTAAAAGCAAATGTTGTTTGAACATTGAACCTATATATTGATTTTTCTATATTAATTGTTAATGTTACTGCAACGTTGAAACAACATGAATTAATAACATTGCAAATTGATAATAAAGTTGTTCACCCAAGAGCAATAAGCTACCAGATGGTCGCGGCAGAATAACATTTCTCGTAAATGAA